GTATATTCAGCAGCTAAAATTTTCATACTACATGTTCATGTTAACGAAAAGCTATTCTTATTTTCAGGTCGGGCCTATACCAATTGATGATGGACTTGGAAAGGAAGTTGTGACTCAGATTAAAACTAACATCCAAAGCAACAAAACATTCTTCACAGATTCGAATGGGCGAGATTTTATTGAAAGAGTATGTTGCTTGTTTGGTTCAATACATTGAAATTATACATTTTTGTATATAATTACAAATATCCCTTGGCATCTCCTTCTTATTCTCTATTTTTTTCTCTCCCCAGATTCGCAACTATCGAAAAGACTGGAACTTGGAAGTGAATGAACCTGTTGCTGGAAATTATTATCCTGTATGTCTATAACTCAAACCAATAATTCTTGTATTATTAGCATGAAAATGACTAGAAATTTCAGCTTGCCCTTCAAGTCTCTGTCTAATTCCATGATTTCCATGTCAGATAAACCATGGAATTTACTTGAAAGATGACAGGACAGAGCTCTCAGTTTTAGTAGACCGTTCTATGGGCGGATCCAGTATTGTGGATGGCCAACTGGAACTTATGCTTCACAGGTCCTGTCCTTGACTTGGTGTATTTCATCTTAGTAATTAGAGATTCCCATGTCATTTCTCGAAAAACCTAATATTCGATCCCTTTATTTCATTAGGAGGTTGCTTCATGATGATTCTCGAGGTGTTGCAGAGGCATTGAACGAAACAGTCTGTGTTTCTACTAAATGTGCAGGATTAACTGTAAGCCAAGATTTCGACCCTTCGAATTTTTCTGAAATATAATATATATATATATTTCATGAATAGTTAGCTTAATCAACAAACTTTTCAGATCCTTGGGAAATACTACCTCAGGGTTGATCGTTTGGGAGAGGGATCCAAATGGCGTCGTTCCTTTGGTCAGCAGATATATTCTCCTTTTCTCTTGGCATTCACAGAACAGGTGAAAGAAAGAAACAAAATACTAACAGTGTTGCTCATTTATATGGTCAATTCATGGTTCACTAATGTGTTTTATCTCATACAGAATAGAGATAGCTGGAAAAATTCTCGTGTACTGAAGTTTTCCGGGATGGATCCTTCCTATGTTTTACCTGATAATGTCGCGATGATAACCCTCCAGGTCCATAACTCTTTGTCCTTGCTATAGTATTTCTACTGACTGATATAATTTTGGCTTAAATTATAAGTCGATGGAGAATAACAAGAAAGTTATTCATTAATTTATCTGTATGACTATCTTAATTTCACAAATTTAAATTTATGAATGAAATTCATATAAATATTAATTTTTTTTTAAAATGTAACTTGAAAGATTAAATAGTACACATTTTTTCGCTGTTAAATTGCAGGAGCTGGATGATGGAAAAATTCTGCTTCGGTTGGCTCATTTATACGAGGTTGTTGATGCTTTCTCTAGTTTTCTTATATAACACAGTACTATTGTCTGTTTCATTTTCAACAAAGACTTTAGGAAGCATGTCTTATTTTTTTTTGATTGGTTTATAAGATTACGTTTAATTCTGAGATTCTATACTTTTCTTTAATTGATTGCTTGGAACACAAGATCGGAGAAGACAAGGATCTATCCGTTATGGCTCGTGTAGAATTGAAGAAAATATTTCCGAATAAAAAGGTAAAGAAAAATAATTGCATCTTGAGATATAAATAATTTGATAGAATCTTAATAATTAATTAATTAAATAATTGATTCGATTTTGGAATTGGGAAACAGATAAGAAAAATAGTGGAGACAAGTTTGTCAGCTAACCAAGAAAGAGCAGAAATGGAGAAGAAGAGGTTGGTGTGGCAAGTAGAAGGGTCCTTGGGAGAGGAACCAAAGGTGGTGAGAGGAGGAGCTGTTGACCCTGCAAACCTAGTGGTTGAACTTGCTCCAATGGAAATTCGCACTTTTGTCATTGAAATATAAGAAATGCTCTCTAGATTTTACGAGAGCATAACTCTTTGGATTTGGTTTTCTCCTTGTGAATACTCTTCCATTATTTATTTTGACAAATTCGGAATTTGGAATTTGATTTTTTAATATTTTTATGAGAATATGAATTTGAATTAAATTGATGTTCTTATTTTTTTTTATGGGAATAATTTATTTTAAAATATATTATATTACCATTTTAATTAAATATGTTAATGTTGATTTATATTATGTTACAAATATAGATATATTATGTGATGCACCAATTCTGTATTAAAAAAATATGTGATTGTTAAATTTCATACAATATTAATAATTTAAAATTGAATTTTGAATATTAATGCGGTCCTAATGCATGCTTACATCTTTTTCTCGAATAACTACTTGAAATTTTTTTTAAATGCATTGGCAACTAATAGGGACATCTTTTATACTTGGCTCATAAGCTAATCATCATACTTTGTTTGTCTTTGATCATAAATAACTAAACTTATTTTGTTTTTAATTCACAAAAAATTAATTTTGTTTTGTCATATATTTTTATTTTATGTATAACTTACGAATAATTGATCTTATTTTATCAATTTTATAAATTATTTTAAAAAATTATTAACGTAATAATATTTAGATATAAAATGTTATAAATAAATAAATAACAAATTATATTTTAAATAAATATTAAAATAATTAAAAAAATTAGAATAAAATAAAAAAATACATGCAAAACCAAAAGAAGATATAGAAAATCTAACAATTTCATACTTCTATATCAATGTTATATTTTGTTTAAACCCTTTCTTATAATAATAATGACTAAATAATAGAGGAACATATGTTTAAAAAATAATGTTTGTCAAACTGATGTTTTAGAAATTGACTCGTAATAACTATTATTTAGTCATAGGTTAGCTTAAATATTAAATTTATTATTTAATTGTTATTAATTATAAGAAATTATAATTACATTTAATTCAATAATATGTTTTTATAAATAATAAATTATTGATTTATCAATTAAATATATTTTTGATTAAATTTGTAATTTTAACTTTTTAAAGTACAAATTTAAATATTTGAAAGTTTTCAATCTGACGTTATGTCGATTTTGCATTTACTATTTATGTTACAGTTAAAAATAAAAAAGAACCAGATCTTTTGGGCCAGAGCATTTCGGTTATAAGAAGGCTCAATTCAATCCATATCCTCTGATATCCATCAAACGAGTCCACCCGATTCTCGATCCGCTATTGCACTTTGAGAATTGCTTGGGAGCGCAGTTCACTGTTCGGAGGCCAGAAATACACCTGAGATAGACCAGAGAGGCGCGGTACGCCCCGGGAGCACGTCTGCAACAGCCGGAATAGTTCGTGTCCCGAGAGAAGAAAGTGTTACAGGACGAGAGGAATATCTGAATTCAGGTACGGAAAATTTTCAGATCTCCGTACTAAGTTTTTACCTCAATTTCAACGTTTTTCTTTTTGTTTCACTAAGCCTTACTGGTTTCTGACAACGTAACGCATTAGTAATGATTTGATGGTTTGTAGCTTCCTTGATTAATGCAATTGATGTGATCAATTTTTTTGGTTTTATTGGATGATGAAGGACTTATGGGGAAGGAGAGCGAGGTGCAAGCAATGGAAGTAGATGATCCAAAATCAATCAGTTCTAATCAGATCACTCCGAAATTCTCAATCAACGGTTAGTTTTCTACCCTTTGCTTCCTTCAAAAAATTGCCACGAGGGGAGGGGGTTAGCAATTGAGATTAATTTAGATAATCGGACGACAAGAATGTTGTTTAAAGCCTCTGCATAATGTGAGTCATATTGGTATATGGGCTTATTGAGTGAGGTTATTTGCTCTTTTTCATTTCATTGGAAGAATAATGAGGTTTTAATTAATTATGACTCCTGGTTTCTTCGATAGTTTTCTGGACGGCAACACAAAGTGCGGCCTGGATTTTGATCACTTCTTAATATACTTCGAATTATTTATTTTAATTTACGTGTTTGGGGGTATTGTTACCAGTTCTGCACTACTGAAGTCTTCTCAGATGCAGCATGGACTGCGCCACGGTGACTACACTCGCTATCGGTATATTTACATACTCTTGTTTTCACTCACATGTCCCAGTTCTAGAATTAAACATTTACTGGGACGATTTCATGGTTCTTTTTTCCATTTGGTGTTTGGAAATAAAATAAATTGTGTTGTTGTGCAGGAGATATTGCACAGCACGTCTGAGGAGGCTATATAAATCATTGAAGTTCACCCACGGTCGTGGGAAATACACGAAGAGAGCCATTACTGAAGCCACTATCAGTGATGTCAGGTGTGCCTTGTTCAGGATAATTCATGCTTCAAACATTTGCATGTTACATTTTTCTCTAGTATCTTACTTTTTAGTTGTTGGCGTGTAAAAAGTAGGATAACGAAAAACAATAATTTAGTCTACATCCTATTTTGGATTCAAGTACTTTATGGTCTTCACTGGTCCAACCTATGCCTGCCAACCTCTTTTTGCTGGCCTTTGCCGTGTATGGCTTGAGAGGAACCGAAGGTTATATTAGGATTGCTACTCTTCATTTCATGGGCTTGGGAAAGGATAATGTTTCTGGCCACCTTATGGGCCAAAGATCACTGAAACTATTCCGATTTAATGATTTTTGAGGCTCATCGGAACAGGGAGGCGATCATTGTGGTTCTGTAGTTGGTTTTGGCCGTTTACTCTTTTATGCTTTTGTCTTTACATTTATATTTATCAAGGCGGATGCTTTTGTCTTTCTTTTTGGTTTCTAATAATATTTATTTTTCCATAAAAAAGAACCTCTGCCTGCCAATTGCAAATTGAAAAATATAAATTTCTTTTCTCAAGAGAGTCTAAAATGATTAAGATGTTGATGACTGCACTAGTCTGAGATGTTCCTCCATGTAACTAGCTGAACTGACTCTATGATGCATGACTTCCATGTATTTTAGGATATCTGTGGAGTATCTTTGCTATATCTTATTTTTTTTTATATTAAACCTAAGAAAAAGGAATTAAGTTCAACTGATGCGCATTGGGATGTTATTATAACCTGTAGCTAGAGCATGGATGCCACCCAATTTTCTATATGGTTTCTGCTTTTTAGGGTTTAGGGTTTATACCTTCTTTTGTTAAAATTATCATAAGGAAAACTAGCATAATTGGAAGGATGCATGTGAGAATGGTGATCAAGGATGTAGCGTGAGCGAACATGCTATCCAGCCATTTATGTGGGTTCACTTTGAAGTGGTTTAGTATCATAACAAACAAACACATTTTTGGGAGTTGGATGGAACAAAGAAATATGCAGACACATAAAATAATTTACTTATTTATCATGAACAGGCATGCATATACATGCATTACTTATACTATGACCAAGTTTAACAGGTTGTTCCTGGATTTAAAATAGATTTCTTCATCTGGTTCTTTATACGGCTGAGAGAGCTTGGAGCCATGCCATGGAAAAGAGACAGCTTCCAGATGGGCCCAATGCGCGCCAGCGCAGCTATTTGATTGGTAGGCTGAGAAAAGCTGTGAAATGGGCTACATTGTTCTCAAATTTGTGCGCTATTAAGGGAGATTCCAGAACATCTCTAGAGGCTGAGGTGCGCATGTAATAGAATTGTTTAAAATTTTTGTGATTTTCCATGTGCTTTAACATTGTTTTCTTCATGGAAATGGAAAAAGAAATTAGTTGTAGCAACATGTGAAAATCTCAATTTCCCCTTTATTGGGAATAGTTGTTTTTGTGAAGTGTACATGACCTCTGTCACTGCATTGCTTGGGTTTGGTGCATAACCTTCTGCAAGATTTACAGTAGGATTGAAATGAATATACTGTGATACACCTCAAAGAAGCTTTTAAGTTTGTTAGCACGACATGAAAAATATGAAAACTCTCTTGAATCCTTGAATAGCAGCAAAAAAGATTTGTATTCTTCTTATTCACCTTCCATTCTGTAGCTAGGATCTAAAAATAGCTTTCTAATTGATTACAATGTTCATATTGATAATTTAAGGTGATAATATACTCTCAAATCATGTTGGTGGACGGTTAAAACGCATGAAACTTCTTATGACATAGCTGATTTTGAGGTTCAGCTCTTGTACAAGGAATACATTCTAACTTGTGGAATTGCTGGAGTTGACTCGTTTAGATTTGATTGATCATCTGAAAACAGTTTATAGTGATTTTCTGATTCGCAAAGTTGATCTCCATGCAGAAACTTGATTCCAAAACAGTTACTTCAAAATTGGCTCTAAAAAACTAGTCAAAATTTTTGGGAAAATTAAGTTATCTAAGCATAAAAAATTTTTGGGAGACAACACAATCCACTGCTACAAAAGTGCAAGAAGCTCTTCTTAGACTGCCTCATGCTGAAAGAGGAGAGAGGGGGGGTATCTCCACCAGATTTTCATTTACTAATCTATTGTTCCAAATGGGGCTAATAGATGCTTGATATATGATATTCATAAACAATAAAGCATGTGTTTAAATATTTAATGCCTGTTTGGCCAGGTTTCTGCTTATGTCTTTGCTGTCAGTCTAGCTAAACGTCAAAAAAAGTACTCTTTATTAAAAACAGATTGGCTTATGTAAATGTGAAATCAAAGCCAAGAAATAGATGTTTCACTAATTTATTAATTTAATGTATTTAAAATAAAAATATACTAGAGATTTATTATTATATTCATTTTAAATGCTTTAATTTTAAAAATTAAATAATAATTATTTAAAGTTAATACTCATTGAAAAAAGTAAATAGAATGATTAAACTGAAATAAATAATTTAAATTGTTAAAACACATCTTAAGAAATATTTAATATTTTTTAATGGTTGTAACAATTATTATTATTTTTATTTTATTCAATTTTTTGTCATTCAACATTTATTACCATTGATATCATATTATTATTTACACATAATATCATATTTTATATTAAAAACAGTTTTTGCTACAAGCTTCCATCTTAAAGCTTAACAATTTCGAACACAAGTGCCAGCTGAGTCAATGGAACTTTAGTTTTATATCCTAGTTCATGATTTAGGGATGTCATATCTGAAAACCTTTGTGTAAGGCATGCATGTTAATAATTGTTTTAAGACCATGTCTTAGCAGATGATTTACAGCTAGGCGAGTCCCTAATGCCACATATTTCAATTTTTTTCTCAATTATTTGTTTGCTACTAGGCTTTGTTTTAGATCTTTTACTTCTATATAAACTACTACTGCTATTTGTGGCATTTCTGGAATTGTCAGTATCTTATGGCTGTTCTTTTCTTAATTAATCATGTCTTCTTTGTTAATTTCGTAGGCCTATGCATCCTATATGAAAGGAAATTTGCTGTTTGAGAAAGATCAGAATTGGGACACTGCATTGATGCATTTTAAAAGTTCCAGGTTCTTACTTATCTCTATAATATTTTTACTTTCATGTTAAGCATATGTACCTAGAATCTCTCTTATTAGTGTTTCCCATATGAAAAGAAGGTATACTAATTAAGTCTGTCTCAATCTTGTTTGGATGAGTTGTATGAGATTTTGGTTTTCTCCATGGCTATAACATTCGTTGCTAACTTAGTCTACAATGTTCTAGGGCTGTTTATGAGGAACTAGGGAAATATGGAGACTTGGAGAATCAAGTTTTATGTCGTGAACGCGTTGAAGAACTTGAACCAAGTATTCGATATTGCCTACACAAGATTGGCGAGTCAAACTTGCAAGCCTCTGAGCTTCTACAAATTGGTGAGATGGAAGGTCCTGCTCTAGACCTTTTCAAATCGAAAATAGAGGTGAGCCTTACCATTTAAGATGAGTAAAAAAGGATGATCGTTTGTGATTCCTTTTTCTCTTCATCAATGAAATTGTGATATCAACTGGCTTGCTTGTCTGTTTGAAAAGTTACTTATCTTAGAGCAAAAGCTGCATCACATTCAATCAAATCCCAGAAATGGACTATCAACATAACATCTTTAATAGCGACATATCTTGTTGTAGATTTGGTGACTTTATAATCTCACACATAGTAATGGATTGAAAACATGGCTTGAAAATCTATTCTTCTTCTGGATGCCTTGAAAAGCAGTCTTCCTGAACAGATTGTACTGGATCTCTAGTTCTATGTCTTATATTCACAAAAATGTTTGAGTTTCTGTCTAGTCGTCCACGTGCACAGATACATGACCTTGTTTGCTTCAGCTCATGTGCTTTTGCTTAAGGCAAGTGCTAGCACAAAGAAATACTATGTTTGACTGTTTTCGTACTCAATCTACTCTCGGTTAAAGAAACTCATTAACAAAAACATGAGTCCCTGCTGTCATCAGTCACT